GGGTCTTAAAACTTTCCAATATGGGCACAACTTCATTTGACAATAAAATAGGCAAAATTGACATTCACAATTTAAGAGGTCAAATGACACTGAAGAAATATTTTAAGGTACCATGGGGTTTGAAAGCAGTTGACATAAAAATAACAGAATATAAATATTCACAGTTCTCTCATCCTACACAAAATAGTAAATATTAGAGTAAATTTGATACATTAAAGTATTCAACATTATAGTTGTTTACACAAAACTATCTTGTTTCAGAATGTATTTCTTCTGGCTTTTATGAAAACACAAGATTATAAATTGTCTCTCTCAAGAAAAAAAAAGAAAAAGAAAAACAGCAGCAGCTACAGTGAACAAACAAAAATAACTTGATAATATCTGTACCAATATAATAATTAAAATTTACTGAAAGAGAAAACAACAGAAAAAAATAGTGCAAGCTTTCTAGTGGTAAAATTTAGTATTAGGTCTAGAGTAATGCTATTTCTTCAAAAAGTTGTGAGTATCACTATTTGTAGTTCCTTTTTATATTTGTTTTGTTTTGTTTTTGCTAATTATTAGCTAGCAAAGAACAGAAAACAAACTGAAAGTTATCAAGTATCTACTATATGCTTGATTTTTAAAAATTTATTTAATGCCGGGCTCAGTGGCTCAGCCTGTAATCCCACGCCTTTGGGAGGCTGAGGTGAGTGGATTGCCTGAGCCCGCGGGTTTGAGACCCGCCTGGGCAACGAGACCTCATCTCTACAATAAATCAAAAAATCAGCCGGACATGGTAGTGCACGCTTGTAATTCCGGCTACTTGGAAGACTGAGGCAGAAGGATCACAGGAGCCCAGCAGATCGAGGCTGTGGTGGCCAGGAGCAGCCACTGCACTCCAGTATGGGCGACAGAGTGAGACTCCAAATCAAAAAAAAAAAAAAATTATTTATTTATTATAAAGATGGGGGTATAATTCACGGTTAAGTATACAAACATTGATCATGCAGGTACCCTTGTTGATGAGGTATGCCCCTCCATCCCCTAGCAGTTTCCCTCAACTGCCAGTCCCCCCCACCGACAGTTTTCCATTACTGCCAATCACTTTCTTATAGCATTATAATTGTTCAAGGTCACCTTATGAGTGAGAACATGGGGAACTCAGTTCTTTGTTTCTGTGATAAATCACTGAGTATGATAGACTCCAAGTCCACCCAACTTGCTGCAAAGTCCATATATTTGTCCTTCTTTATGACTGCATAATATTCCATTGTGTACATGTACCATATTTTTTTAATCCAGTCCAGCTTCGATGATAAGCACGGTTGCTTCCATGTTTTTGCTATTGTGAATAGAGCTGCAACAAACATACGTGTGCAGGTATCTTTTTCGTGGAATAATTTGAGTTCCTCTGGGTATATTCCCAATAGGGGAATTGCTGGGTCATATGGAAGGTCAATTTCTAGTTCTTTCAGAAATCTCCAGACTGTTTTCTGAGAGGTTGTACAAGTTTGCATTCCCACCAGCAGTGTAGAAGCATTCCTTTTTCTCCACATCCTCGCCAGCATCTGTTGTTGTTTGTTTTATTAATGATGGCCATTCTTACAGGGGTTAGGTGGTATCTCAATGTGGTTTCAGTCTGCATTTCTATGATGATGAGTGAGGCCAAGCATTTATTCATGTGTCTGTTGGCTACCCATATATCTTCTTTTGAGAAGTGTCTATTCATGTTTTTGATCACTTTTTAAAGGGGCTGTTTGTTTTTTTTCCCTTCAGCACATTTGAGTTCCTTGTAGATCTGAGATGTTAGGCCTTTGTCAGATATACAGTTGACAAAACAAACAAACAATCAAACAAAACAACAGCTACAATGAACAAACAAAAAGAACTTGATAATATCTGTACCAATATAACAATTAAAATTTACTGAAAGAGAAAACAACAGAAAAAAAAAATAGTGCAAGCTTTTTAGTGGTAAAATTTAGTTTTAGGTCTAAAGTAATGCTATTTCTTCAAAAAGTTGTATCACTATTTTAGTTCCTTTTTATATATTTTTTGTTTTGTTTTTCCTAATTATTAGCTAGCAAAGAACAGAAAACAAACTGAAAGTTATCAGGTATCTACTATGTGCTTGATTTTTAAAAATTATTAAAAAAATCTTTTGTGTTTTATTTTTTAGCCAGGTTTTATCGTTAACTCAGTGAAATATAAAATTTTAGATTTCAACTTAAATGAAAGATTTCTAATTCATTATGCCCTAGATAGTTATTATTTTATTTTATTTTACTATCTTTATTCTATTTTATTTCAGTGTGTGTGGAATGGAGTGAAGAGGGGAAATAACCTTTACCCAAAAGGAATATAATCTTGAATTGGAAAAAAAGTCACTTTGTTTTGTTAATTAAAAATTGACTCTAGTATGAGCATAAGGGAAGAAGCAGGACTGCTAGTAAAATAGCTATTACCGTAATCCATGAGGAAGATGGTGGAAGGGAAGGAATTCAGATTCAGTAAATATTTTGCATCCAATAGGATTTGCTGGTAAATTGCAGTCAAAGTGTGGATATGAGGTCTGAGAAAGTAGGAGGATTAAGTTGGTGCTATTTACTGATATGGTAAAGCAGTAAAAACAGCAGGTTGTTGATTTTTTTTTTTTATTTATTTTAAGTGGATCAGTATGGAAGAGAGAACAGGATTGGGGGTTTTTAATATTTCAGTTGGGGAGGCTTACTATTATTAACCTAATTGGAGATTCAAGTTGGCAATTGGACACACTTCTGAAATCCAGAAGAAAGAACTAACCTAGAGATATGAAGGTCTTCAGCATACAGATGGCATTTAAAGCCACCCTATAGAATGTGATGTCCAAATAAGTAAAGATCAAGGTCCAACCTTTGAAACAATCTGATATAAAATATGTCTTATGCCAGACTCGGTGGCTCAGCCTGTAATCCCGCGCCTTTGGGAGGCTGAGGTGAGTGGATTGTCTGAGCCCACGGGTTCGAGACCCACCTGGGCAGGCGAGACCTCATCT